TGCTTTGTGACCTCTGTTTTCAAAACCCTGGATGCTTAACTTAAAGTATATGAAAGCAAGTTCTGTACATTTGCTGAAAGAGCATACCTTTCAAAGACTCTCTGGCAAGGCATTTAGACCCTTATGTAAACTCCAAGTCTTCAATTGCTGTGTTTGCTGAGCACCTGTGAAGGAGTATCGACTGCAGAGGACCACCATTCCATATGCATGTACTGCAAAGAGTGTTATGTTGGCATTGTAATGTGAGTGATTAAAATGCATGAATAGTTGAGTACATGGGATATCTGAGGCTAATGTAGACTCACTAAATATACTGAATAATTAGCTTCACTGAAATCAGAAGTAAAATACCCAGCATCTAAACAAGAAATGCTGGCTTCTTTCCTATGTATTATATACAAGATGAAAAATGAAACAAAAGTAAGCCTTGGAACACAATCTCAGGTAGGCTTGGAGTCCTAAATGAAAGAAAGAAAAAGGACACAAATTCAATAACTGAATTCAAAGCCACCAGTAGGTTCCAGACTCAGCATGGTAGGATCCAGGGAGAGGGGAGCCCAAACCTCTTTTTGCAAATAAGGGGAGAGCCTTACTGAAGGAAGAGAGGGAAAACATAGCTGGTTTACTTGTGTTAAACTTGTCTTTCAACTGAACAGAGCTCTAGTTGACTTCATTTGAGTTTTGCCAAAATAGAACTGTGTCAGGCACTGAATAGGATTTCAGGACTTCAGGTTCATTGATGTACTTCATAGAACCTTGGGAAATTGTGGTAATCACCTGTCTTCCCCTCAGGAAGTGACTCTAACGATACTCTCTGATTCTTACATTGTTGTGCAGATTTGGTAACAAGCCTTTCCCACAACTTTTAGCATATTGTTGCATTGCTTAGTGCTGGCATGAAATTAAATAGCAGTAGTCTGGGACTTGCACTGCTTTGCTTTTTTTTATTATTTTTTTGGTGTTGTTTATGTTGCTTACTGTTGTTTTATTGTAACAGCCTAGATAGTATATGGGGTGGTTTAGTTGAGAAGAAATTGGTCATTCATATTCTTTTATTAGTGTTCTTGTGGCATGCTGGTCAAATCATACTAACTGTAAAACATTGAGCAATGATTAATGAACCCTTTGGAGAATGTATGTGAGTCCTGCTTCACGTTACATTCTGAGCGGAAGAACAACTACCAACATTTTCAGAACGCTTACTTATCCTGTGAGTTTCAATACCTGATTGATTTGCTGTGTGCTGGGCCCTATTAAAACAGCTTAGTTTCCCGTTGGTAGACCATATGCCTTTAAAAAAACATTGCCAACCAGAAAAGCTGGCCACAGGATCTTAGATAGAATTTGTTCACTTCTTGGGCCTTGTCTTGAAGGATGCTAAGGACCTACAGCCCAGGTTCTTACTGCTGAGAGCTACTTCCCCTTGGGACTTCTGAAAACTAGCATAATGTTTCAAGCTGAGTATCCAAAAATGACTGTATGAATCATTAGGTAGTAAGCCCTTTGGGAGCTCAGCCAGTTTTCTTGTTCTGCATTTATGCAGTGTATAATATTATAGGAGTCTGGATATGAGTGTCCTACAAGCTACGCAATACACTAGATATTAATAGCAGTCATAACTACGGGATATAGTTTGGCTGCCTCTGATCTCATCAGAGCCATATTTCAAAATCTTGCAGAGCTTAATGTAGACCTCACCCTACATTATTTGAGCAGCAGGCCATCTACTGCAGTAGTTACTCTGTTCTATACATAGCAGTTCCCCATGAAGTAAAATTAAAACAATGAGATGGAAAAAAGATACTTAATTCACTGCCTGATGATTCATTTGCTCAAATGGCATTTATAACTCTGCAGTGTGCAATTGGACATGAGGCCTCCTACTGCCATGTCCTGTGCAAACATGCTGGAAGGTACAATCTTTTCCACATAATTTTCTTAAAATTATATTGTCTGTTAAGTAAAATTTTTACTTGGGCACTGAGATTATCAGAAAAGCATAAGGAAAAATTAAGAGATGCAACGTTGCCCAAACCATCCCTTTGAAGATGACTCAAAGTCACAAGATTTGTTTAAAATACATGATAACATGGGGTTCTTCTCTATTTTCCATCTTGCCCAGGGTTCAGATTTTTTAAGCTTTAGATCTTTAACCAGGCTGATGAAAGACTACTTTCATCAAGGGAGCTGAAGGTCATGTATAGTCATGTGGTTGCATGAGTTAGCCTTCAGAAAGAAACACCAAATATTACATTACTTAGCAACATGGAATAGCATTATTGTCCTTTTAAATTGCTTTTTAGCACCAGGGAAAGATGGTATTTCTAGCAATTCTTCCTAAAAATATTAATAGACCCTCTTGTTGCTGTATTCTCAAGGAATGATAGTGAATCTTCTTTAGAGCCATAGGGAGATCACATTTTGCAGCATGTAGGGGTAAAACACTTCTTAGAGCAGCATGCTTCTGTGCAGATGAATGCTTTCTTAATAGAACACCCATGTTTCTTTGGGGCACTACATGTGTGTCAAAGCAGAGCTTGCAAAATATCAGCTGTGATTCAGGCACTCTCATGCCACTGGAAGAATAAAAGTGGATGTTGCTGAGAACCGTAAAGAACTACAGTATGTAATCATCCTCTTTTTAATCTAATCTTGATGGATCATCCTCTGTGAGCAGCAATATTCAGGATGTTAAAAATGGGGTCTGAGTGAGTTGATTCCAAAATCTCTTTGGTGGCCTCAGTGTAGCCTAAAAGCCACGCATTCCTGAATAGTGAAATGCAAAACCTCTGTCAGCCTCTCTTCTCCACTGGGCCTTGCAGAGGGAACTGGCAGATAACACATGTGGACCTCACAGCAGGTCTACAACCTGTCATCCCAGAGGCCGTATACTCAAAAGTGCTGAAGTTCTGAGTTCAGGGTTGGAATTTGGATGCCTTACTTATATAGGGAAGGAATATCATGACTGTATCTACACTTTATTTCCATTTGCCAGTTTGCAGGTTAAATCAGATCAGATTATATTAGATTAATTACATTACTATACCTTGACTTACTTCTCTTTACTGAAGTGACATTTGGGTGCCTACATCATCTATCACTTCTTGTTGTTGTCCAAAAGATATCACATACATTTATATACCAGAAAGTGGCATGTGATGAACTTGTGTTGGCACTCAGCTAAAGTAACAGTGAAGATAGAGCAATTCCAGGTGGAACTTGGGCTAAGCCTCTTCTGTTCAACTATGGTCTTGTCCACAAACTTTAACTACTGCAGCCAGCCCAAGTTACACTGGCCTGATGGCTGTCTTAACCTGAGTTAAGATCCCCCTTGGTTTTCGGGTTTGGGGTTTTGGCAGGGTTTTTTTAAAAGATATGTTAAAGAGTCTAAATTGCTTTAATTCTTTATGGACAAAAGGAAAGAAATAGTAATTGGAAAAGCATCTAACAAGACAGAAAAGGCTACAGTTTTATGGATGGGGAGACTTGAAATTAGGGTGACGTAACTTTCTTGAGGTCACATCAGAGCCTCTGGCAAAGCAGAGATTAGAAAGCAAGATCTCTTGGCCACTTTTCACAGTTTATTTGTGCCTATGTGTCTGTGTAAGTCGGGGAAAATGTGTGTGAGGGAGAGAGAGAGGAGGATGTTTTATTCTTGAGCCCATGTGACTATTTCACAATCAATCTGGCTGTGTCTGCAAGTTTTCAGATACATAGGGATCAGTTCTCCCTCTCGGTAAGCAGAATTCAGGTGCAAGCCTGAGGACATATACGCTCCTAGACATATCCTAAACTTGAACCATTCTTTTATACATAATGCTAGAACACAATACGCAATCTGAAGTGACACAGGGACCTTACTGACTGCTGAGCCCAGGTGGTGTAATCTGTCCCCTGCAATGGGAAGAGTAAGCAATGCGTAGCCATATTATTTCTAATGCCAGCAGAAAACAGCCTGTATCCCAAGTAAATTTTTCATAAGTGAAAAGTGAGTTGCTGAGGTGTGCAAATTGGACTGACAGTTCTGGCCCTAGTAATCATTTGGGTGATGTGTCTATTTTTTTCTAGCCATTCAGGGAGCAAGCATCATTATCAGAGACATTCTGGAGTATCTTGCTGTTTTCTTCTCTTAATTCAGTTGTCGTCTTCTAATGCATCTTCAGTTCATGCACATTTTCCAACTCTTTATCATGTTTTTCTTCCTTTCCTGTATTTCTTCCTATCACTGTTGTTTTTTTTCCTTCAGTTCACTCTGTTCTTTCTACTCTCCTACCAGGTCTGTTTTCTCGCTAGCGTACACTAACCCTAGTATGTTGTATGTACTGCATATATATGATCATAGCCTAATATATAGCAATATGTGAAACAATATGGTATGGTAGATATGGTTCTGTGTAGAACCTACATGTATTTTTTGTTCAATGTTTATTATAATACTGTGAGGTCTCAAGTAGAAAACTGCTTTAACCCAAACATGTTAAATTTGCCTAGTTGTCCTTCTAGCTCTGCCATTATTGAGGTTTTTATTGACCCAGGCAGGCTGGAGGGTGCCTAGATCTGAAGGAAATATCATAAAATATTTTCACCACCAGTCTGGCTGACGTAGTGCAGCAAGTGTATAACCCCAATTAATGAAATCACACAAAAGCAGGCTTTCCTAAGCACAGTTAGGCTTTAAGTATAACAGTTGTTATGCCTTCTATCTCTATTTGTTCTAACTTGTCATGATATTTTCCACATGATCACCACATGCACGCTAATTAGGAAAGCCTTCTGAGTAGATGAGAACTGTTTTATCTGCATTTTCCAGGAAAAATCCCATGTCAGGGTCCTTCTTAAATTATGTAGGATTGAAAAACTGAGAGGAAGGTGATCGAGACAGTTGCATCAGTTTGACTCAATTTACTTTAATCAGTGCAGGTACCTTTTGTGGGCTCTTTCCTAAGTCATAAACAGCTGAAGCTGATTCAGTCCATTATCTGTTGTTAATTCAATTTCAGATTGTCAGCCTACATAGGTAGCTACTTTAGCTAAATTGGTGCAACCAAGTCAGGGTCAAATGAGTGGGTGGACTCAAATCTTGGCTAGCTGTCCTCTTCCATAGAGCATGAACATCATTGTTGAGATTCTGGAGGTGAAGTAATGAGCATCTGCCATAAAGAATTCATCCTATCCCATTCAGACCATGAGGAAAGTTACATTGGTCAAAATGGAAAAAATGCCAGAACAAACAATAATAGGTTGGAAAAACTGTGCAAAGGCACATCTTCTCAGTCATTGGCTTTGGGAACAGCTTGCTGCCTAAAGGTAAGTTTTCCATTTTTTTGCAGGAGCAATGTTGTGTTTGGTACTTCTTATAAGACTTCAAATGTTACAGTTGGAGGAGGTGTGTTTGGGCCACTGATTCAGGAGCTGGGAATCTTCCTGGCTTACTCAATGTCTACTGTAGATTGTCTACTGTTATTAAGAAGTATTTCATAATGGCAAAGTATCTTTGGGAATATCATGTGGATAAAATGACCCATGGGAACTTATGTTTCCTTGAATAGAAATGTTCTGAGTGGTATTGCAGGACACTGCACGAGTAATGCCTGTAGCTTGAAGGGACATTGTGGGAAATTCCCATGGCTGCTAACCTTAATGGAGCTTTGTAAGCAACAATGAAAAATATAACAGCAAAATAATAATAATTAAAAAAAAAAAACTAAGAAAGATATAGCTCTAAAGGATTTTCTTATGTGATACTTAACCAGATTTCTCAAACTTTCACGTGTTAATTACATTTGAACGCTAAAAGCCTTATTTTCATGCTGTCTTCTATTTGCACATTAACTCTGAAAAGGGCATTTGCCCCCACAGTTTTAAAACAAAGCCTACAAAGCAGAGGAAAGAGATGCTTATGAAATCAATAGGAAATTTTAGCTGGTAAGAAAAACAAGAGCATGGTACAGTAATATGCTTTTTTTTTTTTTTTTTTCTTCCAGCAAGAAATGTTTACAGAGGGGTACAGCAACCCAAGTTTTCTACTCACTGGCTCACAGGAATGCTAGTTGCCACAAGCCTTGCTGGTTGCAAATTTTCAAATACTGTTTCAGTGAAAATCACCTTCCAGGTAAAAGGGAATTAAATGAGTTGCCAGTTCTTGAATCGTTAATTAATAAAAGACTGAAAGAACTCCAAACACTTTTTGGCAATGAGGCCTTGTCTTCTTCACTACGAGGAAGTTGTGGAGGCAGTACTTGCATACGTGTGCATATATGGATCTACCATACTGCAAGGTAACTATGGCTATGTCTATGTTAGTGAGTAGCACAGTGCAATAGGAATTCATTTGTGGAGACAAACAGTGCTCAAGACCCAGTGTCTGCACTATATGGGTTTTTTTTAAGGTGGTTAATTTGGACTGGCTCTAGTCAGCTACCATGGACTGACTGCCCTTTAGCAGGTGCAGGACCTGAGTTGAGCTTATCAAGCACATCTTCCAATTTTGTTTTGTCCAAAAGAAATCCAGTCCATGTGCTCTGAGGCTGTTCAGCAACATGAATCCAAGTGCTGAATGTGGGAGCTACTGGGACACTGTCTGAGAAGCACCTTCCTGATTTTAACAGGAATGCTAGTGTAGGCACCCTCCCTCGACTGTCGGCTACCTTGAGGTAAAATCATAATGCAATATTGATGCTTTCATTTTATTACAAGGCATGTTCATCGGGGTCATCCAGGAGCATTGGGTGAAATTGCTGTTTGTGATTAATGTCAAGGGCTTCGTTGTCATCTATTTTCCCATCTTTCAGCCCAGATGAAATATTCTTTAAAGATGCAACAAAGGCTTTATACTTTTTACCTTTGTGTCTTCTTATTTTGTTCCACTTTGTAAAGCCTAACACTTAGTCCAATTGTAATTTCAAGAGGCTTTCACTTGTTTAAATCAGGCTTGTATGTTCTATACCATACAACAAAAGCATTTTCAGAATTCTTTAGGATATCTTTCTCTTTTGTATCCTCTCTTATATTTCTGATTTGACTTTCAGAGATTGTTACATGCATAAAAGTGTCTGCTAGCATTGTTCACAACTATGATGACAGGTTGGGTCATTATCAAGGATTCTTGGAGGTCAAGAAAGATGTTGGAACTATTTATGAAAAACTGCATGCTCGTTTCCAACTACATTGATGAAAGTATCAGAAGAAAATGGTTAAGTTCCGCAATGTGTTGACTGAAGCTGAAGGAGCAGCTTTTTAGCTGTGGAGGTATTTTCAGTTTCATGCATGTTTGTAAACCAAGTGGAAAACTTGTCCTTGAATACATTCTGTGCAAGAAATCTTTTATGAATACTATTCATTAGTATGAACACTATTTTGGTTGCCCTGGTGCTACAGCAGTGGTACCTCTCAATGGAGGCATAAATACCATCTTCCAGGACAGTATTTAGTTATATATAGCACAGTTGTAGTGAATAAAGTGCTGACAATTGTTGCAGAAACAGAGAGGTCATCTACATGAAGAACTGATCTAAGAAAAAAAATTTCTAAAACTTGTAGCTAGTTTTAAAAGCAGTTCAGTTAAACTGGTTTTGAAAGTAGCCAGAGCTGGAGCCACAGTTGCTGAAAATGTCATACTGTAGGTCTGCCACTGACTGTTATTACAACAGGTGTATCCATCATGCCAGTAATGCTATCTCTTTTTAGCCTAAGTAAGAGACAAAGCATAAACGTGTTGTGGATTCAGTACCACATAAACAGGAATAGCATAGTTCAAGTAAAATAGATCTTAAAAGTGACTGATTGGAGTAGAAGAGTTTTGTTGAAAGTTTTTCTTCAAAGATTTCTTCCAGGACTGGAGCTAAAAGACTTTGGACAAACTGATGCACTGGGCTCAGAACAGAGAGCAGTGGGTGTAATGCCATCAGGGCTGGCTTTTCAAGGTTTTTTGGGGGGAGGGCAGGTCCTGGGATCAGGGGAGTCTCTTTCCAAGTGGCTGAAGAATTGGACAGAAATCAAGGATGTGGGCAGTGAGAGGAGGACTGAGGAGGGAAAGAAGCTTTTTGTACAGATGTTATTTTTCATAGGGAGGGAAAAAAAAAAGATACTGAGGGGTAAGATGCCTGAGGAGAAAAACTAAAGTGTGGGAATGGGCATGCTTTAGAGCAGAACAGAAAAGGAGGCAGCTTGGTGAGAGGATATGAAGGAGAACAGGACTACTGAAAGGGCATCCACATGGAAAATAGTCACCCAAGTTAAGAGGTAGGTTGCAGCTCATGTATGAGTAAATACAGGCATCACAATTTGGAACAGACGGGTGCCATGGCGAGTATAGCTCTTCATTTGTGGAAATACTGGCCTATACTTTACTAGACTTCTCTGTTGGTTTTATCTTCAACTGCTAAGAAACTTGTGGCATACCAGCTACACCTTAATCAAGAGGTCTGATTTAAAACTCAAAATGGGATATAAAACTTGAAAGGGAATAGTGGATGTATGCATGTGGTTCCTTAAGTGTGTGTAGCTGACTGTGTCTTGTGATTGTGTCTTGAAGTCTTATTAGAGAGAACTAAAACATGATCCAGTAGATAAAATAGATCAAGAAGAGCTTAAGGCTTTTCTGGGTAGCTGTAACTGTGTGTTAAAGGTGGCCACTTGCTGTGTAGAAACCTTCCAAGCTTCTGCTCCACAGGTGGAGGGAGAATGCTGCTACCCAGGACTATTAACTTGTGTTTGAGATTTAATGTCAGTTTTGCCTCTCTTAGTTCCTTTCAACTTCGGCTCTTCAGTAGCGTTGATCAGTCATCTGCTGTGGGTGTTACTGGGAGATCCAAGTTCAAAGAGAAATACCAGTTTGTGAAGCTGTGCTGGCTAGCCAGTGTACCAAGGCTGCCTTAGAGACAGACTGGGGTTGGGTGTTTTGATTGTGTGTGGGGTTTTTTTGTTGGTGGTTTTTTTTTTTTTTGTGTTTTTTTTTTTTTTTTTTTTTTTTTTTTAGTTTATTGCTGTTCCTCCTTTCCTGAGAAATGGTGTGGCTGCACCTGATAAGAAGCACACTAAAAAGCCACAAGTCTTATGGTGATAGTGTTGAAAACTTGATGGACTTTCACGATTGGTATTAGAAGGCAGATGGGTCAAGCAGCACAGACCAGACCACTCTTGTTGCCTGAAGGTGTTTTCATTCGCAGGAATCATTAGTGGAACTTGACACTCACTGAGTAATTCAAGCAGTGAAAACTTGACTCTTTTTGTAGCTACTCACATTAACAATGTATTCCAGTTATTTCCCTCTCATGGACTGAACAGGATTTTGAGTGTGGCAAATGCTTGTTAGGTCACCCCAGGAACACACTTCTACAAGTGTTTGGCAGTTCCTGAAAACCTGAGTCGTGCTTCTGTCATTCAGAGTTTCACTGGTGAGCTCCCTCTTGCTATGTGTCGCCTCCCCACCCCAACAGGTCCCATGGCTGCTTCCACACCACAAAATGTTTCTCATGTTATCCCAAGTGACCTATCGCTGCAACTGTTACAGGATTATAAGCAGTCAAGGTCCATTTTGAACAAAACTAAAATACTGAGCTTGCCTCCTTTGGGTTTGGAGTTTTTTGTTGTTTGGTTGGTTTTTTTAGTGATTACATTCATATGAGCCACCTAAAGTGAATTTGAACCAAGATGCTGCAAATCCATCTGTAATTTTTCCTACAAGTTTACAGCAATAGTTCCAAATGAGCAGATTTACCGTATTAAGATTTGCTTGTAGGCAACTGAAGATCAGTACAAACAGGTAAACTTATCAAACATACTTCATTAGTCTACAAATGTGCTATTATCTGTAATAATTAGGTTTCGGTCTTTTGCTTTTTACAAAATAAATTATTGGCAGATTTTATATTGACAATTGACCGTATTGTGTTCAGGGACAAAACATATAGCAAGATAAACCATTAGATGCAGCTGAGCCTCTGGGCATATAAACAAACAGCAGAAAATTTGTATTGTAAGTATGAATAAGTTTTTTTTGGGGGGGTTGTTTTTTATATAACACTGGTATATCATGGATATTTTTTCCCATAGTTGATAAAGCACACCTATTAGCCCAAGTATTAGTAAATGTGAGTCTGACCATCCTGCATAGGTGAAACCTGCAAAGAAACCTGTACCAATTTTGCCAAAAAAAAGTACCTTGCTGAAAGTAAGAACTTAAATAACCATCACAATTGCTTTATTGACTGGAGGAAGGGGGGGAAGAAAGGTCCATGGACTGGATACCAATCATTGTTTATTTCTCTTTTTTTACATTGACAATTGCATTTTCTGTTCCTTTCAGCAAGCATAACTATCAAATGAGTGCTTACTTACTCCTAAGTGGAGCATCTTTCATCCTTAATTTTTTTGCTTTGATAAAAAAAGGTTGTTTAAAGTTCATAGTATAGAATTTAAACGTGCGTGGGAGTAGAATTGGTTTAGACCACAGACAAACACCAGAATGGTCAGACCTGCTTTCTGTTTGTTTGCCTAGTATTTAAATTGGCTTGGCTGGCTGTCTCCTTATTGCCTCTAAGGACTTTGGATACACTTTATCTTAAATATGTTGGTAGATAAAATAATCTGGTTTAGGCTCTCTGTTGAATTCCAGTTTATGATATTTGAGTTTAAGAAATTACTTCCTCGTCAAAGGTATGGGTTTTTTTTTTTTTCATGTTGTTCAGGGAATGCTGGTTTTGCTCAGTTAATCAACAGCCAAACATTGCATCTTCAACATTTTCAGTAAAACTGATCCCTAAAAAAGTGCTAAAGTAATAAGGTGAAACTAGCTGTAACTGTGGTCATACTAGATATCTCTACATATGATTTTCTCACTGTATTTTTAATGTTGTTTTTTCCTTTAAATCTATTCTCATGGCAAAGGTTAGAGCCATTTTTGGAAATTCATGGGTTTTAATCTGTTAGAGGCTTTTCCTCTTCAAACTAGCCACTGTAATATCTGCAGACCTCTAACTAATTACCTCTTGTTCAGACTTGTATTTGCCTGTCTGTCTTTCCAAAGACACAATTCTGACACTTCCCAAACCAGAGGCAGGAGGAGAGAACAGTAAATTCACATTGCAAATGACTTTGAAAATCAGCAATTCTGTTTTCATTCCAAACTGCTGTGAAAGATAATTCCTAAGGTCTCCACAGAACAACAATCTGAAAAATGTTGGTTTCCTAATTTCAGCAAATTAGGACTGAAGAAGATTAAGGAAGTGCAGGCTTCCAATTTCAAAAGCCTCTGGGTTTGCCACAGAAGCTGGGGCTTGTTTGTTTGCTTTCAGCCCACCTAGTGGGATGGCAGGAAAGGGAGGAGAGCATCTGTGATTCTCCGATTTCTAGGCTACTGGGGCAAAGAATCTGAAAATCCTGGACACTCCTTCCTGAGATGGCTGCCAGGATCTGTAGGGCTCCTGATATTCCTGACTTCAGAAAAAAAAAAAAAAATCTGCTTAGTAGGCTGTCTGTGGGCCAAGACACCAGAAGCACTCCGCAAAGTCTGTCTGTTCAACTTCTGAGGAGCTCAGTGAGTAAACCAGCAAAAGTTCAAGTAGGATCCCAAGGGAAAAGCTCCTCTTGTCTTTGATTTAAAATGTATTCCTTAGAAGTTCACTAGCAACTGCAATTGTAGATGAGGCAAAGCAAGCGGTCTGCATAATGATGGCTGAACATTCCAGGGAATGTCGCCAGCAGTGACCAGCTGCAGAGTCAGATGCAGCTAATATAAATCTTCTCACAGAATTTCTGCCTCTTGGTGTCTCATGGTGACATCAGATCTGCACTGGCTTAAAACAAAACTGATCCCCTTCCTCGGTTTTATAGGTACAGCTTGCCCTGATCTTCTTATTCCTAAGATCTGAAATGTCAGAGTCATCTAGAGTCATCTGACTGTTGTCCACGGGACCTGTAGATCCCAGCAGCTGAAGATGGATCTGAACCATGATGCACCTGAACTGAACTGCAGTGCTGGCTCAAACTCTCTTTTTTTTTTTTTTTTTTTTTTTCTCTCCAGACACTTTGGACACAGGTAGAAGTTACTGTCAAAAAACCAGGTAATACTTGAAAAAATAAACTAAACCCATGCAATGTCAAAAAACCCTTTTCAACAGTTTTGTTTGTTTTTAAACCACCCTTTTTATTTCCCTTCATGTAGTCTAGTCTTCTTCCTCTGTGTTTGCCTACTGGTCTGAAAGACCTGAAAAATCAGGATATATGTCATTGTTTATGTGGCAGCAGTTTGGTGTCTTGGTTCATGTGTTTTGAAGAGGGAAACAAATTGCCTTTTTTGTTCTTAGAAAGCAAAAACTTTCCACTCAGAGAGTGGTACATTACAGCCTTCAGTTGATTTATTTTGTGGAAGCTTCTTAACACTTAAAGAAACTTTGGTAGATTTTAAGAGAGCACTCTCAAAATATCAGGTAAGGTATAGTGACAAGTGACAGTTAAGTTGGTATGAAGGTTTTAGTAATCACCCACTTTGCAGGCATTTTAGATGGAAGAAAACCTGTTCAGAAAGCAGACTGTGTTACCTACCACACATGCTGAAACACTGTCTCTTCACAGAGCATTGGATGAATCCATTTTGGAAGAACAGCCTTGGGTTAGAGTAGAAAACTGGTAATGCTGGAAAAAGCAAAGGCAAAGAAGCTCCATCTGGAAAAGGTAGCGTCTTATGAGTCCTCTTCTTTCTGAAAATAACTTCTTTAGTCCTTGATGTGATTTCTGCAAAGATCACCTCTGCCTCTGTTAAGAGATGAAGGGCATGTAAATGCAGGAACTGTTAGCGCCCCGTGCTATTTGCCTCTTCTGGAAGGGGCACAGGATCCTTCTTTCCAATAAAGTGGACCTTTTGACTTTGCGATATCAATGTTTCAGATTCTGCTCTCAAATTTCTCAATCATTTTTTTCTCTGTTGGTTATCTATTGTAAATCACTCTTGGTGGTTGCTTGTCAGCACCAGTGGCAAGGTAGCACTGGGCTAACTGTCATGTTTATTCCATGTATTCATGCTATAACATCACAGGAGTTACAAGAACTTATCCACCTGCAGGATTTGGACTCTGCTGTTGATTTTAGATCAATCTTTCTGTCACCTAAAGGTAGCTGTTTACTTTATAAAGCATCTTCTGGTTTCTCAGTTCAGCTTTAACTGTATGTTTAAGCAAAACTTGCAGGCAACAGTCCATTGAGATTGCCTTTGCTGTGGGGATAAAAGGCTACTTCCTAGCAGCTCCTACTAAGCACTGTATTGGGAAATACTTAACCGAGCTATTTATTTAAGTAGAATTATTTTTTAGAAACTATTATGCATGTACATTAGATTTTATTTGAATAGAGACTTCAGACCATCCCAGGTACTGTGTTATCCAAATTGCTCTAGCTCATGGGGTATCTGGCTAAACTGGCAAAGTGAGGCTGTTTGTCCCAGGTAATTTAATTCTTTCTTTCTGCCTATATGCCTTCAGGGCAAGAATCAGCTCTGGTTCGGTTATATTCACAAGAAAGTGAAAAGCCTTTTGGAAAACTGAGCTTCCCAATTACTAAAACAGAAAAGAAGGAAAAAAAATAGAATCCTCTGGAGGAAAAAAAAAAATATTTTTCGTTAAAATAGGCAATGAGGTGGATTCTGCTCTTAGCCATATTGATTTAAATGAAAGCTGTTTCAGTGACATGAAATTTAGATTTATATAAGAATAACTGAAGGGCAACATCTGGTTCACTGCTTGTGTTGCAGTGACAGCTGGGCTTCACTTGTGCTTGCTGGAGATAAGACACTTTCACATGGTCATGCCAAGTTCAATGACCAGCTGATAAGCACAAGTAATGATGTAAGCATCAGCTGTGACAAGAGTAACATAACTGGAAGTTACTTAATTCTGGTCATACTTCTGGAAGAGAAAGTATGAGTTTGCAGCCTCTTCTCAGCTAGGTCACTACAAACACTGACCAGTTACAAAAAATAATGTTTTTGTGTGTTTGTAGTTATTCTGACTTAGCCCTTCCATGCTTTTAAGGGAAGAAGGAGAGAGGTGAAAAACCATAGGGCTTTGATTAATGCCCATTATGTGGGGAGAATCTCACACCAATGAGTTTTCACCCACTTACCTGTACAACTAAATAGTATGCTGAGGCAGATACATTTATCTGCTTTCTAAATCTCATTTCCAGCTAAGAAAAACCATGATTCTAAGAAAAAATCATGATTTCTGTAACAAGGCTGTGAGACTTCAATGACATCGTTGTGCCAGAGTCATATTAAATGTGTGCTGGTGAAGCTACTTCCAAGACCGCTCCTAAAATAGGCACTGAAGACGTAATCTGACCCTCTGCTCCCTGCTGAGCCAGCTGCAGGGGAGGAGAGCTGCTGGCTTCACCCCTCTGTTGGTTGAAGGAGATGACTGCTAATGACAACAGCAGTCTCACTTCTGATCCCATTGTTGTGCTTTCCAAACTGTGGTAGCTCCGTGGAGATTGGAATCCAGTTCCAAGTGTTCTGGATTCAGCTCTACTGCCCGAAGAGCCTACGTTTAGTTAAGGATCAAGGTTAAATATGCCTGCAGTAGCATATGGCTGGTAGAGTGTAGTTCAAGCCTGTGCCAAGGACAGTGCAAGGGGGAAGGGACTGTCTGAGCTGCCTAAAACCTGCTGCCAGTGCTTTTAGCCTTTACCCAGTGAGAGCTGACTGAACAAGCAAGACTCCTCTGCTGAGCTAACGGCTCGCTTGAATTATTTCTACAGCACAATTTGGCTAAGCACCACTGAGAATCTGGATTGAGAATATCAATTTTTATTATATACTGAACTACTGTAAAATTTTTGTTTTCTTTGTTTTCAAGTGGATCACCATTGTTTTCCTGCTTGTAACACTGATCCAGAGCATGGACAAAAATACCATGGAGGCAAAGACAGGAGGAGAGGCATACTGAATCCCATCTGCCAAGAGTGCAGGTACCTGCTTCAGACTTATTTATGCTAATCAACAGGAAATGAGCCTTCTTGCCCTGCCTCGCGCTGCAAGGGGGATTGCCCAAACTTCACTCATGATTATCCTTATGGATTTCCTGTAACTTCCAGTCTCACCTTTAACAAGCGCTCACCAGGACCAAAAAGACCACTGGTGTGATCCTATTCAGTCTTTCCACTACCACAGGCAACTACATGTTAGCAGGCGTGTGGGCATTTTAAGTACGCAGAAGGGCAGATGTCTTGGGTTTTATAGGTGCAAGAAAGGAAATGAGCCCCAGGCTCTGATTCCTGGCTGGCAGGCTTAAGTAGGCTTTTTTTCCACAAAGTAGGAAAAGCCTAGACATATGCTTGTGCCTTTTAGGAGATGGAGTTCCCCAAAAAAGCTGTGTACAAGTGGGTTCCCAAGAAAGAGGGGATGTTTTTTCTAGCAAGGCCAGAGGCAATGGTTGCCAGACCTGAGGGCAGAGTTCTTTATGGGAGTGGATGTGAAATGCAGGAGGAGAGATTTTACACCAGAAGAGCTGTAGTAGTCAGGGACTTGGAAGGTTTGAGGCATGGCCATGCAACTTTGCATAGCAAGTGTATTGTTCAAAAACATCCACAAAATGTTTCCTTCATGCCCCACAAATTTATGTTGTGCTATGGGTCCTTTCCAGTGCTCTGCAACAAAGTTGAGGCTTCTAGGAAAAGGCCAGAGAGCCAAAGAACAGTGTGTTGCAGGCAGAGGAGCAGAAAGCAGAGCAAGGGCACCAGCAAGTCTCTGGGTTTCTGCTATGGCAAGGTATTTGTTAAATTTGTAGCCATTTTGTGCCCTTCTGTTCTTGTGCCAGCATTGTTTAGCTGCTGTCACAAGACAGAATGTCCATTCTTTGTGTAACCCTTCTCTGCATCTTCTCCAGAACTGTTTTCTTGATTGTGAGAGCCCAAATCCTATATCGTGTTTTGGGGGAAACACCAGAGTTTTGTACACCTGCATCAGTGCTTTCCTACCTTCTTAGTAGATATTATCTTAGCTAAGGCACGTTCTCCTTTGCTGTGAATAGTTGAAGATGTATTTGTTGTTTACTTCAATTATCTTTTACATGTCCTAGCTCACTTGACTTTTGACAAATCTGGCCTTAATCCTATGCATCTCTATTTCTACACCATAGCTATCTTTGACCAGGATTATTTGCTATTTGTGACTCCTACGAACCCTTCTATAGTGGTTTTTTTTTTTTCACTTACTCAGGCCTAAAGTGCTTCCCAAGAAGACTTTTCTCCTGGAAGAAGATTTTTCTTCCTTGAAATATATACATGGGATAGGTTTTTTTTATACCTTTGATCTAGATGTATTCCAATCTCCCTCCATGTTCAAGTGTTTCTGCCCTTCAGTCTGGGTACATTCACTAGTGAGTTTCTTGAATTTTACAGTTTGCCCTTCTGAAGTTAAAAAATGTAATTACCAACCTGCTTCTGTTTGTTATTCTGTTCAATGTAAATGGAAATAGTTGCTGAGTACTCAGCCCAATGCTGTTTTCTATGACCATGTTATTTTGAGTGTCTTCATTACTTACTAATTTAGGGTTGTCTCTTTTTGTCTCAGTGACTACTGAGAAGAAATCTGGCAGCTATCGTACACATGGTGAGCTGGGCCCAAGTTTATTATTAGAAGCATTTGTTTCCAAAATAGTATCTAGGAAGTTAAAGTTGACCATGGCACAATTCCTACTAGTGTTTCTATAATAACACTTCAGCGACAGACCTCTTCTTGCACCATTAAATTTTAGCTGCAGACAAGAAAAGCCAGGTTTCAATGAGGTGTCCAAATCAAAAACAACCACCGCCCAAAAAAACAAAAGGCTGTGAGCAGGTGGTCTGGGCTGCTGGAAGTGGAGCTTCCTGTTCACGTACAATGGGGAATTTGATGATGATGAGTTAAATGAAGACTTTTTTTTTAATAATTTGCAAAGGTCATTTGATGTTTTCCACTCATCTGAATGAAATGGCTAAAGACTGAAATAGAAGGAGTATTGTACTAAAATTGCAAAGTCTTGGATATTGGCCTATTGATCATACTCATGTGGGTCATGTCTGTCTCCCATTTGGAACAGGAGCAGAGCAGTGAAAAAGAAAAGTCTGCTCCATGAGCTATTGCTCTCCTGAGTTATGGAGACCAAGCCAGCCTTTTCTGCTGTAGGGCTGCTCTGTTCACCCTGGAGTGCCGTGATGGAAGGATTCCCTCTCCCATGCCACCAGCCTTATTTTGTGTGGGTACCTACTGGATTCTTCTGACCTATTTCAAGTGACTATCTGGCTCATAGCAATGGTCATTACCTGGCAGAAGTCATAAGCAGGTAAATTAGTCATGGGAAGAAATGCATTGAAAATTTTCCCAGCTGTTATACCTACATCCAGGACTTTGAGTGCAGCTTGAACTCTTACATGTAAGAAATGCGCAAAGCACTCTTCAGCCAATGTCTGTCTCATTGAAATTAGCCTGCTGTTCACTTATGACTAAGCTTCTAGTGGTTTCTGGCATACCCTGCCTGACTTACAGTGGCTCACCTAGCCTGCTCACCCCCCTCCTTCTTGTAGTCTAATCATAGCTATTTGTATCACTTTTACAGCCCTGTTTCGTGTCCTGTCTTGCTACATCATATTTTCAAACACAGACCCAATCTGAAAAGTATCTGGAGGAAAAACTGTGCACCTGTTCCCAGATTTTTGGCTGCTGCAAACCAGAAAAGTAAGCCAGGCCAGTTAACACTGGCCAAAGAAGTGGGCCAAAAGTTTGAAGCTGAAAGGTTATATATCTGAGAGCTGTCTTAGCATTTGTACTAATGACTTGGCTGTAAGGTGAAGCCAGCAGGACACAGGACAGGAACTTGGGGATCTGGAGAATGATAGGCTGTGCAATGGGCAGCCAGAGGGAAAACTAGGGAGGCCTTTTTTATAAAATGCACAGGGAAAGAAACTGGGTATTAAGCTGTGCTTAAAATGGCAAAGGCATCTCGCATGCTGGCCTCTCCTTGGAAAGGAGACAGGGAGCAGTGAGTCCTGGCGTGGTATTGCAGGAATGATGGTATTGCAGGGCTATCATAAAAGGACGGGTGTTTCATCTTCCAAAAGCAGTTTATGTCAGTCAGCCTAGTACATGAGGCTGAGTGGGTAGGGACCCAGAGCCACAGGCTCAAGAACTTCTTGTTCTCTCTGAGCTCAGAGCCCATCTGCAATTGGCACCAGGGCTGTGACCTAGCAGCAGACTGCAAATGAGGGTCTCACACTGCCCCTCGGCTGGTTACTCCCTCCTGTGCACCACTTTGCCTCTCACCTTCTCCCGGTCTTCCCATGTGCAAGATGCCACAGCCAGTGCCCTCTGTAAACATCTACTCTGTGCCCCTGAGCTACATGGTGGGAAGGCAACTGCCATGTCCCCATCAGACGGGTGGGAGAGATGGATCTTGAGAGGTTTGTCTCCTGCCAGGGGAAGAAGCATCAGCTCTTGCCCTCTTTCTCTGAGGGAAGGGCTGCTTTCAGTGCTGTGAAGCTTCAGGTTGGGTTACCCTTGGGTACACATAGAGGTGGAGTCATGCCAGTATACTGGCAACAAAGAAGGATGGAGGGGACAAGTTGGAAACTTGAGTTCCACATGACAGTACAGCTTAACAGAAATAAGGCAACAAGTGGAGGGGAGCCATCTATGGCTTAATGTTGTTCTTGACCTGGTGAAAACCACTAGATGCTCATGACACATCTTTTTCCATAATTTTGCAAACTGCTTCCCCTTCCTGTTGTTTTGCTAGCAATGCTCTTCAAGGGGGTGTGTTTTGACCTATTTCTTTCTCCTGCACATGCCTAGTGAGCATAAGGATGTTTAGTCTCTGTTGGATAATGTTTCTTTATGGGTTTACAGATGCTCTTATGTGTAGGTACATGCCTTGAGGACTTATTTTTGGTTGGGCAAATGGTGCTTGCTAATGAGCTCACCACTTCAGATTGCATTGGATTGGCTGGCAGGGAGGCTGTCTCAATCTACCTCCATGACATTTCTTGTCATCATATGTTTTGTTTGCTTGTGCCCTCTCTCCCAGACAGAGTACATGAAGCACTGGACAGCCCAGGGCAGGAGAAAGCACTCTGCGCTTCCCAGAAAAAGCAGACCCTAGGGACCATGACAGCGGTCACAGCCTAATGTAGCTCTTTGGTTGACCAGGTCTTGAAAAAGTGACCTCGAACTAGGTGGGTGTTGCGTGCTGTGAACTCATGACAAATGCTGTGGGTTCTGATGAGATGTCCTCCAGTAACTCACCAGATTCTTTAAAGATCCTGGGAGAGGCTTTAGCAAGTCATCTGCTGGCAAAAAGTCTCTGTAAGAACTACCATGCGACCACAAATCAGTGACTAAACAAGCTATGTGAGGACTGGAGCTTACTACAGCTTGAGCGGTCAGTGCGGTGGAGAACAGTCCCCTAGCATCTGGGGGCCAGGGAACTGAGAGAAACTGTGAAACAGAGTTGTGCTGAGAGGTTTTGGAGCGTGGTAGCAGAGATTGGGACATGTATGGGACTCGGGGCTGTTCTCATGTGCAACATAAAGAAGATCAGACTATGGTGGTAGGTAATAAAGCTAGAAAATGAGCAGAGAAGGGATGTTTTGACAGTCTGTATTCCCATAAAGGCATTCAGCTCCTAAAGTAATTAAAGGGGGACAGTTCTGTTGCATTTTAGTTCTAGGACCAGAGGTGTATGATAGACTGCACGGTGCACTGCATACACAGAGCCTGATTAGTCATCTTGCCTAGTGGATCGCCGGGGAGGAAATCACTTTCCTGATGCTGCAACTTTCCATTCTGTTTATTCCATGTTCTCCACACTTTTGCTTTTCCCATGTTCAACAGTTTTCCTTCCATTTCCTGTAATTTTTATCTTTGTTTTTCTCTGGTTTTGCAAGCTGGGGTAGAGTCTGGCTGCAACATTTTCATAGTTCAGTAGTGACTGAGGAGGTACATACTTTCTCCTGGAACTTAAATAAGGCTCCATTTTGTTTGGATTTGTTTCAGTTATTGCTTTGCATTTAAAGGTTTCTGTGGCTTTTATGTTTGGTTTGGGGAGAGGTTTGTGTCTCAGGAGAGTTGATTTTGAACTGAAATAGAAAAAAAAAAATACTTGTTAACTTTTTGGTCATGTGCCTTGTTTTTGCTTGCAGGAACATTCATTTGAATTCTTGCTAGTCATCCTTTTCCAAAGCACTTTGAAGGTTACTCGTTGTGAAATCATTGCTGATGCTATTTGTGTGCAATAGAATATATCCCTGAGAAGTGATTCCTTATACTTTCTGCCAAAAAAATTCATCAGTGTTTCAGATGAATTCACTTCTTGCTTGTACAGATCGTTTTGAAAACAGCTAGGTACTAAACTTTTTTTGTACTACATTAATTGTTCGAATTGCCATTTGAGTCCTTGAACTTAGTTTGACAGATTTACATGATAACAGACACTGGCTTTCATTCTGTTGCTGGCCTTGGACAGTTACAGTTGCCAAAAGAAACTGAAGTGAAATTACATTATTTCAGATTAGACTATTACATTATTTGACCAACGTAGTGAGAATTTGGGATTTTGCAGTTTATTCCAGATAAAGGTGCATTCATGTATCTTAGGTACAAGTCTTTCTATTTATTAGATGCACTGCCTTTAATGCAAGGGAATAAAACTGTGAGCAACAGGTCCTCTGTTCTCAGCTCTACATCTCCTACAGGCTTTGGCTACAAATGTGAATGCTTAGCTCTTCCTGGAGTTAGATGCTTTGTCCAAGACTCCCAGAAAAATGACAAGCACGTAACTTCCAGCCAGCTGTGAAATCAAATGGCTGCTTTTAAGTCATCACACAGGACCGCTATAGGAACGTTGCATACATCTAACTAGCTTCACAGGTGCATCGGTAACTTGAGTTGGCCTCTCTGAGCCAGTGGCTCAGTCCTGCTAACAGCATGTTCGTGTTCTTTACCTCTGTGTTTTTCAGCCTGCCCAAAGATCCATTCTAGACAGTCGCCAATACCCAGGTTAGCTAGTGTGAAATTGGCTCACACCCATGAACTCATGTGCAAAAGACACAGCTGCAGCACATGCATCCTGTCAGGAACAGAGGCAGGAATAGCATTCACTTCCTCAAGGCTTCCTACCTTCCTCTGCAGTGAACAGCCCCAGCACCTTGTTCTGCAAAAAATCTGGCACATCCCAAGAGTAAGTCCATCCTGTATCCTGAACAAAGGCGAGGCCTTGCAAAATAAAGCAAGGCCAGAACAAAATAATACCGGACTACATAATTTAAGACTGTCATGAAATGTGCAAGCAAGGGGACCGAAGTGAAGTCACATAACCCATCTTCTGGTATTTCCTAACTTCTGACTTCTCCATTGTGCAACCTTCATGATTTTTTTTTAATTGGTTTTGTGCCTATAATATTTAGGTGAATTCAAGGGTAAGGACCAAAGAAATGAGAGCTAATAATGAGGCAAAAGATACAGCAGAGTTAAAGAAACTTATTTTAGAAGGCAGATAATTTAGCTATATACTTTGAAGCAGCTTGGTTTTGTAAAGGCCAGCACGTGAAGGGTGAAGACCTGAGGAACCTCATGGGAGAAGGGGCAAAAGTACAAAGGTATTGTTGGCTCAAGGCAAAACAGATTACAGAGGGCTGAACTTTAGTTGCCAGCCCCGAACAAATAGAAAGCCATCTCAGCAGGCTACAGAAGGGGGTAGTCTCTTAAAAATAGACAATTTTTCCCTGCTTTTAAGCTCTTATTTTTATTACACATACATATAGGCCCTACAAAACTGCTGCTGAGAACAGACTCCACCTCTGGTCATTCCTAGTGATAACCACCAAAAAAAACCCAGGAACAGCTCTTCCAATGAAGGAAGCAATCTTGTTCTGGTACAATGCTAAAAACACCCTGCAAGCTCCCTGAAGCATCGTATAGAACAGCTGCAGATTAAAGTGGTCAGGGTCATAACGTTTGAAACGGGAGAGGACAATTAAATTATTAACAACCCCTCAGATTTCTCCTAGCATGATACGCTGCTCTGGGCAAAACACAACGTTGATTCCAGGCAGACTGGTATTTCCCGCCCCCTTGGTCACTGGCAGAATTATTTCTTATCGTTCTTTTCATGCAGTAATGCCCAGTCCTGAGGGGTTGGGTGCTGCAGTGTGGAGGGAAGATTTTCACGGAGCCCCCGTGAGTCTCTCCCGGGTAGGTCATGCAGGGTGCGCCTTCGCTGTGCCTCCGGCGGCAGTTTTTGGGATGGAGGGTAGTGCTCCCCTCCCCCCTAATTGCTTTCCCTGGGGCTGGCTGGAAGGGGGGCAGGGTGCTCGGAAAGGGAGAACCCTGCACCTGAAATAACTACTGCCTGCGGCTTTCGCCTTGCTCGGCTTCCCGCCCCCCAGGGTGACAGTCAGTTTGTTAATTAGCCGTCCATGCCTGGCGGCTTTTTCGGGACCGGCGGCTGCGGCTCCAGCTGGAAGTCAGTCAGAGAAGATACGCGGGGGGTGGGGTGAGACGGAGCTTCTGCCTTAGCTGCCTTCACGTGGGTCTCTCCTCCCCCTGGAAGGCTTCGGTATAAATCGAGGAGGAATTCCAGCAAGACTCGAGCCAAGTAACATCTCTGTCTAAACACACAGCGTGCTTCCTTCCACGTTTTCTTTTGCAGATGGGGCTCGGCTGAAACAAGCCGCCTTCTTCATCCTTGCCGTAACCTCCTCCTGTGCGGGACAAGGCTGAAGCTGCCGAGAGGCTGCCTGGGCGGCCCTGATAAGAAGCGGTAAGTCCTCTTTTCTTGTCTTCGGTGCTTTAAAGATACTTTATCTGCGCCGTCGAGAACCGGTGAGCGAATACCCCTTGCCGCACGAAGTGTAGCCGGCTCGGTAAGCTGTCGCGTAGGCTGAGAGGATCCTGCGGGTCCTGCCGGGACCCGTAGGACGGGGTACGCTGAAAGTGCTCGTTCCTGAGTTTGCCGGCGTTTCTGCCGCGAGACATCATCTCGCCGCGCTCTTGCGTTATTCAGCAGGTAAGGCTTCTAGCTGGCCTCATGCAGAGTCTGTGCCTGCTTCCAATTTTGGAACCTCCTTCAGGTAAGTACTGCCGGCAGCAGCTGCCAGCAACGTTGCTCTTCAGTGTAAATTCAGAGGCAGAGCTTGGCCGTTCCGACACATGAGCGCGTTCCTCTGTGAAAGCATTCAAGGAATTAATTGAGCTTCCAGAGGCACGAAGCCTGCCTCTACAAGCCTCCCTGCGACGAGGATACAATTTTAATCGGCTTGAGAGCGGGTGAGACGAGATGTCCCAGACTTTTCCCAGAGGTTCCTGGGAGCTTCCTGGTAAAAATCAACATCGCGGCGTAGCGGGGACCCGGTTACCGGTGGGGACGAGCCTGACCGAAGCCGAAGCGCCGCCGCCGCCCGGCTTGGCGGGCGGCATTTGGATGCG